AAAAAAAAATCATTTTGCCAATGGGAGCTGTCATTTGGCTTGTTTACCTTTGTCATATAAGTCTAAGGTTATAAACAGCAACAAACAAGGATGCCCAAGATCTCATAGTACCGCGATGAAAACGCCCAGAATCCTCTGTGGAATGAGGTGAAAATAAGTAAATGAAAGGTGGGGGGGAATGCTTTTCGAGAAATCCATCTTGTCTCCGAGGACACAGGGCTGCAGCATGTGGTCAGTTCCTGTACTTCTGGTCAGTTCTTAAGAGCCAAAGAAATAGTATTTGAATATGACTTTGATCTGTGTGGACCACAGCCAAAGATTGTTCATGTGGAGACCTACTGTTCTTCCCAATTCCGTCCTGCATTACAAGATGAGTATAATCATACTGTACAGAAGCACTTGGAGATTTATAATCCTGGAGTACTTCTGAGCATCTCTTTATGTAATGAAGTCTGTGAAGGGTAACAATGTTGATCAGGACCTTCACTTCACTTCAGATGGGCATAAAGAATATTAAGAATATATATATATAGGCGCTTCCGGACCAGGTCGGGCAGAGGTATCCAGAAGATGCATCCGATATAAAGGACATGTCCAAATTCAAACCTCACATTCTGCTGTCCCAAGAGAATACACAGATTAGAGACTTGCAGCAGGAAAACAGAGAGCTATGGGTTTCCTTGGAGGAACACCAGGATGCTTTGGAACTCATCATGAGCAAGTACCGGAAGCAGATGTTACAATTAATGGTTGCTAAAAAGGCCGTGGATGCTGAACCAGTCCTGAAAGCTCACCAGTCTCACCCTGCAGAAATTGAGAGTCAGATTGACAGAATCTGTGAAATGGGAGAAGTGATGAGGAAAGCAGTTCAGGTGGATGATGACCAATTTTGTAAAATTCAGGAAAAACTAGCCCAATTAGAGCTTGAAAATAAGGAACTTCGAGAATTATTGTCCATCAGCAGTGAGTCTCTTCAGGTCAGGAAGGAAAACTCAATGGCCACTGCTTCCCAAGCCATCAAATAACTCAACTTCTGAATGACGGTGGGAGATTGTTTATCAAGAAAGGAAGTTATTATCTTTCGAGTATTGTCCATTTAGTGTTTTGCCTCAGACTTGATTTAGTGTTGATTAAAGGTATCAGGCGGCAGTTTAAAAAAATATATATATATCACAAGAGTTGATAGCTGAATTATTTGAGGGTGTCTTTTCCAGCCAAGTTATAAATGCTGCATGAACTTTGATTTTTTTATTTAATAAACAGTTTCAGGTAAACAGTTGACATGAAGCCTTTAATTCCACTTTGGATCTGATGCCATGTACAAAACCCCCCACGCTGTGCTCATGTTTCCTGACATCAGGCAGCCAATGCAGTCATAGTTCTGAGGGCTCCAGGTTACTTACAAGATAGGATTTTCCCAGTCTCCAGGATAAATGACAGAGTTTCACATCTGTAATTTCCCAGAATCAGTTTAGGTGGCCCGATTGCTGGGTAAAACCGACTATTTAATCAATAGTAGTCTTTCTCGGACTCAGATCTACAGTCTGAATTTAAATTCCTAATCTAATTTAAATACTATAAATAAGTAGCATTTATACAAATTTGCTTATAAGTCCATCCACTAATTCTTTTTTTTTTTTTTTAAGATTTTACCCATTTATTTGAGAGAGAGAATGAGAGACAGCACGAGAGGGAAGAGAGTCCAAGGGAGAAGCAGACCCCCTGCTGAGCAGGGAGCCAGATGTGGGTGGGACTCGTTCCCGGGACTCCAGGATCATGACCTGAGCCAAAGGCAGTGGCTTAACCAACTGAGCCACCCAGGCGCCCCGGGCACTCTTATTTTTATTAACAAAGAACTGTGAGGACGAGACATGTTAACCTGAAATGCTGATGCCTGCCCAGTTTTGGATTCTCGTGGAAGTCATTCAAAGGAATCAGCAAAAGAAGGTAGGTAATGGAAATGAATACTGACTTTGTATTTATTCCTGAGTTTGTGACTTTGGTTTCAAGAGACTGTAGAATATCATAGAAAATGAGTTTTCCTGGCTCTGTGGTGGATGAGATGGCATGGAGTAGGGATGCCAGCATGGGAGGAAGGGATCTAAAAGGAGGAGGAGTAGGGACACGTGATCAGCTTCCTGCTTCTGCATCTGAGGCCTAGGTGGCTTGAATACATGAGGTAAGAAAGAGCATATGGTAAATGCCACAAACTCTCACAAGCTGGGCTCTAAAACACTCTTTTTTGGCTCATGAGGACGGCCCTATTATTTTGTGTTGGGGCCTTAGGGTATCACGACAGGTAGGAAGTCATGGGACAGTCTTCCAAAAGGAATTCTTGGAAGGAGACAAGGTTTCATTCAGATGAGAAAGAGACAAAAATACATCGTTACGAAGAAAACTACGTCACATTACTTTGTCACGTCTCCTAAAATCACCCACTGAATTACGTAACTCCAGCAAAAAGGGTGCAGGGCTAGGAGGGTTGGGAAAGGCGGTACCATGCAGTTTTCTGACTCTCTCCCAGACACCTAAGTGAGCCTGGAACACTCCCCTACCAACAGAAAGAGTCCTCACAGCCTGTGCTGGCCTCATCGCCTCGTGTGGGATGTGTTTCCCTGTCTCAGACTCAATGTTGTCCTCCTTTGCTCTGCGTAAGCACGTGTGTCATAGGACCCTGGCCAATCCCACGACTGTATTTGCCCACTGCAGGAGAAGATGGGGTCCTTCTGTAGCACAAGAGGGGTGTTTGCAGGCCAAATGCCTTCTTTCAGCTGCAGAGGGAATACCTGCGGGCCGTGGGGGCCTGACATGAACTACTGGAGTGGATTCTGCTCTGCCTCTTCTCTATGTGAATACAGCATTATTCCATCCAATACTTGGCTGTGCTGTGCTTTACTTGGTGACTATGATACCAAGGCGCAGTGGGCAGAGTTGTTACCATTTCTGCTTTTGGTGGTAGATAACAGATGTCACCTGCTTGACAAAGCATCAGGTTCTACTTAGTTATGGCACTAACAAGCTGTGTGAATCTGTTTCTCAGTTTTCTAACTGGCAAAAGAAAGGTGTTCAGTGAGTTCTCTTCCAGCGAAAACATTCTGTTTTCTCTGAGAATGAAAGAGTATTATGCCCAAAGCCAAAAATCAGTAAGGAGAACTTCTGTAGGTCCAGAAGCCAGAGGGAATGCTAACAGTATATGGTTCTCAAAATTTACATATTGGAACCATTCACTGAAGAAAACAGATTTTACTTTAGATCAGAGTTTCTCAACCTTGACCAGATAATTATTGTGGAGAGCTGTCCTATTCATTGTAGGCTATTTAACCACATCCCTGGCCTCTCCCTACTAGGTGGTAGAAGCATCTCACTCTCACAACCAAAAATGTTTCCAGACACTGCCAAATGTCTCCTGAGGGGCAAAAGTGCCCTGAGTGGAGAACCACTAATCTAGATGTATTCCTCTAGCCAAGATCAAGTAATACACATATACCTTATTCATCAATACCTCTATTTTACAGGTAGGAAAACTAAGACATTTCATGAAAAATAAAATTTCATTGTATGATGCATAATATCGTCAAGGATCTGCAACAGAATTGATGTCTTAGTCATTTCCCATCTTTAATCAAAACCGTATTCCTCTTAAGAGAGAACATGAAAAAATTACCCATATTAAAAATATTGAAAATAAGCACCATTAATAAAATGCCACTGAATGATGACTAGTTCTACAGATCTTTAATCTCTTTGTATTCATTAGCTACTGCTCCAGAGTAAAAATAATTATGGCTTCTGTGATGGCTTCATATTTCTTTAAAATAGGTTTCCCATTTGGTAAACCTAATAACTAAGGCCATTTGGTAGTAAACAGAATTGAAGGTTAATCATCAAGCTAAAGACATACAAGAAAATAATGACCCTGTCACTTGAAGGTCAGCTCAGTGTACTGTCCCCTGTGTAATCAGACACCCTTCAACTAATTCCAGCAGCAAATCTAAGGGGGTCATGGATCCATCTCCTAAACACATCAAGGGAAGTGCTAATATACCGGACATCTTATTTAAACTTCTGATAATAAAATGATACAGAAGCGGAAACCCTTGTGAAAGGTTTTTTCCTCAATCTGGGAGCAAGATCATTAGCACTTTATTGATACTTGTGGAATATTGTAAGGTTTGAAGAATGAAATAAGCAAGGAAGTGCTCCAATGCACTTGAAACATGAAAGACTGTACTATAACTTCTGGGCAGGTCCTTACGCTCCAAGCAAGTCTCGTCAACCCTCAGTATTCCACAGGACAACTTCAAGCAGTCAACCAAGTACAAATAAGCAGTACTCTACAAATGGCTCTTACTTATCACATAGGTCTTAGGATAAACCTGCTTATACTTCGAATGGATAGTCACGTGGAGATTATACACATGGTGGCTGTGTAACACTAGTCGGTGAAATGTCTTGCCTTCCTTCATGATTTCTTCGGTCTTTTTTTCAGAGGACATAACATTTTCTAAAAATTCTGAATCTTCTAAGTACAGCTCATCTCCTGAAAAATATTTTGATTCCACAGTGTTATTTTATAAAACATTCCAATACGTTAGTGACATACACATTGGTATTTATTTTCATCTATGTTGTGTTTGGAACTGAGATAGGTGTTAAGTAACTCTAATTTTATGAGCTTACCTAAATTTCTTTCTTGTGTTTTTAATACCCACATCCCCCACCCCCCCATTCCCCAGCCAAGAATTTTCTTTGGGCACATAAATATTTATGACTGGTATTTTTTCATCACGACCTATCAGTTTTAGACTGGCCCATGACTCGCTTTTTCCTAGTCAATATTAATATTGGCCTTGATATCCATATATTTTTGGGTTTCAATGTGGGCTGTTCTAACAATTTTAAGGTTAAATTACAGAAATTACCTTTACACATCAAAAGCACTAAACTATCCCACTGTAAGATGAGGAACAAATATCATCGCTATTCTGAGAACTGAGCCAAGGAGCCAGGAGACAGGTCACAAAGCCCTGCTCTAAACTGCCATAAAAACCCCCGCCTGGCACTTGCCCAACAATCGACTACCAACAAACTCCCCAATTCAAATAAATTGACAATTGCTCACAAATCCAGTTCTTAATAAAGTGTACTTGAAGACAGAAGTTCTCAACTTCATAGTTTATTCTCATGATTCAAGATTAAAATGTAAAAAAGTGAGATAATATATAAGAACTTTGTCAATGTCTGGGAAACACTTACATAAATGTATGTGTGTGTGTATAAGGTGAATTATCAGAACTTTTGGTTATAATAAACACTATGGATATTTTATAGAATTAGACCTTACTCAATAAACTGCTGTATTGTGTAAAACAGATGATAATTCATGTCTCTGTGTTGGGCAATACTGCCATACAGCCCCGTGCATTGAATGTGAATACTAAATGTGAAAAAGCACTGATGCTTCACTGACTTACCTGGTAAAAGCTGGAGCACTGCATCAGCAGTTAAAAATGTGATCGGCAGCCATCTTTCCATTCCTTCTGATGCACCGTCCAAACAAAATTTGTGCAAGTCAGAGAGAGAGGCAAAGTTTCCCAGTCTTCTTATTTCATAGAATTGTGGAGGTGCAAACCAAATTTCCTTTGATATGAAACTCTCAGTTGCCTCTGATGGAGATGACCACTGTGGAAGACAAAGGTCAGGGTTCCTAAGGTTTATTCCAGAGGCAATCAGAGATTTGATATTGTTAGGTTGGTACCCAAATCTAATTGAAATGAAAAATACATAGGATAGTATTTACAGCAGGCTAGATACTACATATGAGAGAGAGAACTTGAAAACATAGCAATAGAATCTATCCAAAATAAAGCACCAGAGAGAAAATATTAAAAAAAAAAAATGAACAAGGTGTCAGTGACATTATCAAGTAGTCCAACATAAATGTGTAATTGGAGTCCCAGAAAATAGGGAAAAGTGAAAAAATCTGAATAAATAACAAAAAGAAAACCATGCACATCATAATCAAATTGATGAACACCAATGCTTAAGAGGAAATATTTAGAGTAGCCACACACACCAAAAAAACCAAACCAAAGCAAAACATATTACATACAGAGGAACAGAGTTAAAAGCAGACTTCTCATCATAAATTACACAAGGCAGAATATACCAAAGCAACATCTTTAAGTACTGACAGAAAAAAACTGTTAACCTGTAATTCTATACCCAGCCAAAATACCTTTCAAAAAAAAAAAAATGAAGGCAAAATAAAGTATTTTTCAGATAAACAAAATTTACAAGATTCCTTGTCAGATGATCTGCAATACAAGACCTATTAGAGGAAGTTCTTCAGGCCAAAAAAAACCAGTTGTAGATTTTAATCTACACAAAGGAATGAAAAGTGCTAATGATGTTAAATATGCAGGTAAACATAAAAGACATTTTTTGCTCATTTTCACAGTCTTTCAAAGATTGTTTAAGGCAAAATAATCAGTATATTGTAGAGTTCATAATAACAATAAAAGTCAAATGTATGACAACAAAAGCTAACAGACATGGGGGGAGAAATATAAGTATATCGTTGTAAGGTTCTAACATGATACATGAAATGAAACCTATATATGGCAAACCCTAGCATAATCACAAAGAGATACAGTTAATAAGTCAATAATGGAGATAAAACAAGGTTCTTAAAAAATACTTAAATAATCCAAAAGGAGTCAGGAAAAGAAAAACAGTGCGAAGAATAGATGGGACAAATAAAAAACTAAAAGCAAGATGGTAGACTTGAATTAAATACAAATACTTAAATATATAAACATATAAATGATCTAAACACCCCAACTAAAAGGTAGAAATTGTCATATTGATTAAAAAAAAAAAGCAAGACCATATGCTGCCTACAAGAAACATACCTTTTTTTTTTAAGATTTTATTTATTTATTTGAGAGAGAGAATGAGATAGAGAGAGCATGAGAGGGGGGAGGGTCAGAGG